ACGTCAGCTGCTAGGTGACAGCGCTTTAGAACATCTGCACACCCTCCAGCTAATGGTTATACGCACAGCCTTACTCAACAACAAAACACTTGGAAATGAATTAGTTCGTGCTCGTTTTGTGGTGGGCTTGGTCAACAATGAAATCCCCACACACCTTAGTAGACCTATCTGTTCCAACCCACCATACCCGCCATCTACCGACTAAACAGTAGCTCACATGAACTCAGAAACCAAACAAAGACAGGTCACTCAAGCTACTCGACGGTTCTGCAGCAAAGCACGACGCTGTGGCCACAGCAAACTCGTTCAAGTTAGTCCCAGTTTTTTATAATCTTTCTGCCTGTTCTTCCAACATTAATACTGTTTTCGCGATGGGTACTGTTAGTGGATGAGAGAAAGTATCCCTGGTTAATGCAGTAGCTTTGGTATCACTGATGAATGTGTGTTACAGCTTGAACAGCCTCTCCATACTCGAGCTTTGCCATACCAATTTGATTGCAGCGAACAGAGGCGAATGCCTCAGCCACACTCCTGTTAAACCTGAATCGGCTGCTGGTGGAATTCCATTTTTTAGTCCACCCAAAAATCATTTTGGGTTTTATCTTGGACTTTTACTTCCTACTATTCCATCATAAATACTAACAGACACAACATGGAAATAAACTTCATCCATACATGAACCGGAATTAGTGTTAAGTATCATCACATCGCAAATACTGGATCACACATGTAAAAACCTTTTGGTGATATTCGATCCAGTGTTACTTCTTTTATCCATAGGTTCCGGCATGTCTTTGATAATGGACTCAGTTCAAGATGTATCGGCATTATACAACCACCTCGTCGAATCCCAGTGTGAAGTAAGTGCGATGATCGGTGAGGCGGTAAAGGAAGCTTATCTCACCTTGTTACTTTCCATGGGTATCCCCCATCATCTCAGAAAAAAGGATGGTTCTCTCTGATTGCGCCATGAGATAACGTGATCCCTTTACACTCCCTCGAATCGATGCAACCCTAGACGCTTCAAGTGGAGCCGCATGGTTCTCAACATTAGATGTCACCTCTGGATATTACCAGCTTGTAGTACGACCAAAAAATCCGCATTAGACAGTTTTCGTCTTGCCTACTGGATTGTATGAAACTATGCCTTCTGGCTACCTCACACCCGTCTATATACCGATGAATGGTGCATCTGATGTTAGATGGGTTAATACCTCACGAGTGTCTCATCTACCTGGATAATATAATGGTGTTCGGCAAATTACTAGAAGAGCATGTAGAGAAATTCCAGACCGTCCGAGGAGTACAGCTTTCTCATATTAGCGTCATACTACGGACGTTTTGTACCTTTCTTCGCATCATTAGTAGCACCTTTACATGGACTAACTGAAAAAGAGAAAATTCTCATGGATGATAGAGTGCCAAAAGTCATTTGACGAACTAAAGAAACACCTTGTCTGTTTACCTGTCTTAGCATCCCCCGACACGTCACTGACTGGCCCGTTCATCGTGTACACCAATGCCGGCTTGAATGCTGTAGAGGCTGTTATGTTATACGTGTCCCCTGACAACCACGGGCAGGTCACAGTGTATGCCAACACGAAAAATGGTGACTTATGCTACCAGCAGAAAAGCTTCTGCCCTGGTTAAATCCTGTCATTACCTTCTTGGGTTCCCCTTTCAAGTACACACAGACCGTCGTGGCTTGCAAAAGCTCCCAACGTTTCGGGAACCAGAAAGACAGGTAGCACATTAACACAAATGCAACGAAGGCAGCATACCAGTGCAGATGTCCTCTCACGATCGCTTACTTTCTATCTCATAGTAAATGCCGTACTTGGTATAGCAACAGATGCCTATTGGGCATCTTTACAAGTGGCAAATGCAGATATTAAACCCCTCTACTTACACCAATGACCCAGAAATAATAAACCGTTGTCTGAAGAATTCCAGGATTTATCTGCTGTGACGCGAGGCATCCACAACAAAATGTACGTGATCTGACTAATGGGTGACGTCATATAAGTAGCAGAGTCGGACTTATCTTCTAGTTCCAAACGTGAAAGTCCAGAAGCTGATTAACTTAACGCATCTTGTCATCCATCAGTGATTCTCATGGCCTTTGCTATATCAGGGATGTCTCTGAATTCCGCCACAATTGTCACGTCTCTAGCTGAATTAAGTAGCCTCTAGAAATATCTCGAATGCGCAGTTTCTTGACTTGGCACTGAAGGCAGTGTCTCCGGAGGAGGAGGTAATGTAACGGAACCAAAACCTAAGTAGATTAAACACTAACTGATGCTTTGTTTTCTTGCCTTGCAGGGGAAGACTCTGGAGTTGATTCTGTAACACAAGAAGTAAAACACTTACAAGGACTTCACATTAACGGAGACAAAAAAGACTGGTAGATTTTGTAACCTCTGTCACTTTGCGTTTGATTTTATGTTGAATATAAGTTCTTTTCTCAGTTTGTGTTCTGTTTTCATCATTTTTCTGTCTTCAGGTATGTCTGCTACACACATGTGTTTTGTGTTTGGTAGGACTTTATTCTAGATAAATGGTAAGCACTTTCTTAGTATTTTGCTGAAATCACATACAAAGTTGCGATTTGCAGTAATTATACTGAAAACTGGTGCTGCTGTCTATCTATCTTGTGGCAGTTAGGGTAATCTTCAAAATTAATAGGAAAATTTTGTGAAAAGTGCTTTGATGAATTTATTATCCTGGAAATTTACCAATTTCAGTTGCAATACCTTTCTTAAAAATTCTTCTTTGTGTCTTACAACGTGAAGATTTTAATTATTGGTATCTGTACCGATAACTCTTTGTGACTGAAGTAAAATGCAGAACCCTCGTTTAAACTGGTTTTGCTTCGAATCTAGCATTCGTAAGAATTAATAAAGTAATCGAAAAAGTGTATTTGACTGATTTTGAGATGATTTTAAGGCCAATACTGAATTTTAACTGTCTTGCTCCATGGTAATAAATCGATAGGTACTTAGATACCTGCGACAGTATTTGTAAAATTTCACCTTACGAGTAACTACGCGAAAGAACATCCTTTGAATCACTAGAATAAACCGTAAGTACGAGGCTGAGCCCCACGTAATGGTTGAGAGTTGATAGTAGTATTCAGTAGCCAAGGCTTAAGTAGGCAAGGTGGGATCCAAACGTGAGACATTAGGTGGAAGTCAAATATTTAACCTCACAAGCACTCAACATTTCAAGATGGTGAAAAAAGACATGTACACACCCGTACGTTTTACCTTTCAGCAGTCAAAAGGACTACTCTTATCATACTTTTGTATCGTTTGTACTTCCCACTTCATTATGCACTAGTGAAGTCCTCGGCGGTTAGAGTATACGATAATTTACTGCATAAGGTCAAAGTGTGTGGAAGCCTTAAAACATATCGGACGTTTTAATTCGTTTTAGTTTTAGGTCTTCTGTAAGGTTCCCTAAATAATCCCATTCGAGTTGATTTAATTACCATCTACCTAAATTGTTATAGTTCATTACTCACTAATAATCTAATAAATTTGGTTGCTTTAGTTCTCAGGATGGTAGTATTCAGTAGGTGACACTTTGGTGCAGAATTATTGCCTGTGATCACATCAATCATTGAGTTAACACAACAGAGGTTTCTGAAAAGTATTGAGGATCCAATGGAGCTGACTGACTGGTTTCAACATAGAACTTTTCATAGATGGGCAGCATTTCGAGCTGCCACATGGAGTATGGCACAAAGCAATAGAACAGATATAATAAACAGAAATATGAGGCAAAAAGAAAAGTAATATGGAAAAACAATAGAATTTTATTGGATGTTTTAAATCAAAAAGAGTGTATGCATCTGCACCATTGAGAATTATTTTGAGCTTTGTCTCCAGCCACTGGTTCTCACCATCCTGTGGACCCCAACCAGGAGGTCTACACCTCCTTAGATGGCTTAAACTGAATGTTGTGGATTTCATTGACTGATACCATGTTTTGGTCTGATCACCACTAGTTCTTTTCCAACCTAATCATATGTCAGCTAACACTACCCCTCAAGAAAGGTGATGACCAGGCACTCGTAACACATGTCTTAACCATCTTAACCGGTGTAACTTCGCAACCTCGTCGATTGATTTCCCATTTAATGGATCTACGAGACCAGAAATACTGGACGCATCTGCTTCACTGAGAACTCATTCGAGTCACGTCGCCAACAGTCTCCAATCACTCGATTTTGGAGTCTGGATGATCCCAGTCAGGTAGTCTGCACCTTCTCATGTAGGTAGTATCAACAATCGAGGACTTCATGGATTGATGCTGGGTGTTGGTTTAGGCACCCCTAACTCTTTCCCAACCTAATCCTATGTCACCTAACATTGCTGGATGTGGAAGGCCATGGCTGGTAATGCGTAACACGTGTCCTAGCCATCTAAATTTATTGGGTTTCCCTCCTCACCTAACACTGCACCTAAACTCAGTATTATTCATCATATTATAGCACTTAACACGAGAGAGAGAGAGAACGCAAACACCTATGGTCAAAGACAGCTAGTCTCTTAATGACCTCTACTTTCAATAAACCATGTCTCATAACCATGAAGAAGGACTGAGCAAACTGCTGCGCAATACACATGTTCCCTGGTCGCTAGCCGGATGTTACATTTATACCTAAGATGACGTAATTTGGTAAGTTTCACACCAGCCTTTTGTATCCATGTTGAGATTTCAGCAGCAGTGGGTCTATTAGGGATGACACAACTGCCGAAATAAATAAAGCGGTCAATGCACTCAACCATTTGTTGGTCTAATCCATGATAGTAATTTACAAGGTGATGGAATCAGGGAAGAATTTGTGTTACTAGAATTTAGAAATCTGGATAGTAACAGTCTGCAGGTACAATGTTTACTTGGTATTTAGGATGACTTTTATAGATACAATTCATTATTATTGGTGTCTATGTTAAAATATGTTCATTCCTCTCTAATTCTAAATACTTATTTTAGGATTTACATTATAACCCAATGGACGATGAAGTGGATAATTGCAATGTGTAAGACTTTAATTTCTTACGTTTGATTTAACTTAGAAATCACTCTATCATTGAACAAAGTCACTCATTATCTCGGATACGATCAACTTTACTTTGTGATAGCCCACAGAGTAAACAGACTAGCAAATCTCAAACCCATTCGAAAAATTGCTCCAAATCTTCCGATTCGTTATTACCAGATTTCAGTGTTCCACCCAATCGAATTCCTACTTCATATGTCTATTCTTCAGATAATACAGAACGTGGATTATGCGTTGTCTTCTCAGTTGATAAATTTGACCCCATTCTCTGTTTACCTCCGAGAAATGGTTCTTTGGTGGACATACAACATATCAAGAAAGCTTTTCAGAGTCTTGATTTCAAAGTTATGGTGCATTCAAACCCGACAACAGAAACTTTGTGCTCTACAATTCAAGCAAGTAGGTTGAACTTTCTAAAATAATAATTAAAAATGTAAAAGTTACCTGGTTTACGAAATGGAAATAAATGCATTTCAGTGGGTTTTTTGATGATATATCTCGGAAAGAACTTAGTGTAATAGTATGAGGTAGCGATAATATAATGAATTTTAAAATTATGTAGTCGCTATTGGACAATGAATAGATGGCTTAGTCTCTATTGGTTTCAAGAAGTTTCAAGTACTCCTAACCGTGCATAAGAATACCTTTACAGTGAAAAGATCTGAGTTCTATAACTTCAGGAATGCTTATACTTATGCTTATTTAAATTTATCTATTCATGTTTTTACTAATAAACTTATTTGATTTCAGTTTCTATGCAAAACCTCAGTAACCACGATTGCTTCGCCTGTGTTATTCTTTCTCATGGTGATGAAGGCGACTTGATTTATGCAAGAGATGGTTCTATACCCTTGGATCGTATCATAGCCCCGTTTCGGGGGGATCAGTGTTCGGATTTAAGAGGCAAGCCAAAATTGTTCTTTATCCAGGTATCTTGTTTTCCTATTGCAAGGGTTAATGTTTTTGATGTTTAATATTTCCTCAGATGTATAGTATTTAAATTGTCCCAAGAATAACTCGATACGCATACTTGTACCATTAATCAAACTCAATATGATGAGTTAAGTATGACGGGTACGCAACTTTACTGATACTTACCGAACAACCTACACCTCTCTGAATGGGATATAGACACAGGTCCTCCGTCCCTAACTGAAGTTGCTAAGGCTGTCACTATTCTGAAACGAGGCAAAGCAGCAGGACCTGATGGAATGACTCCAGAGGTATTTAAGTACGGTGGAGACAGTTTACTGTCTGCGTTAACTAAGGTACAAGGCAGCGTCTGGGAATCGGAGGAAGTCCCGCCGGGTTGGTGTAAGTTATTGATTATCCCGATATACAAGAAGGGAGACAAGTCTTCCTGTGATAATCACAGGGGGATTAGCTTCACTAATATGGTATCTAAGGTTGTAGGCTCAGTAATAATGCGTAGACTAAGTGGTGCTTGGGATGCACAAACACGAGAGAACCAGTCTAGCTGTAGACCAGGAAGAGGGTGCATTGATCATATCTCCACCCTTCGACAGATTCTGGAACAGGCATACTTACCGGCGTCCGACAATCGTTATATTTCTTGACCTAAAAGCGGCGTTCGATTCTGTCAACCGAGAGGTACTCTGGCGATATTTTTCTTTAAAAGGAATGCCGAGAAAATACATTACACTGACCAAGGCACTCTACTCGAACTCATGAGGCCAACCAAGTAACAGCTTACGGTGAGTTGTCATCTTAACTGGTGACAACTAGTGGTGTCCGACAGGGATGCCCACTATCCCCATTTCTATTCAATTTCATCAGAGATGTACTGATGCGATTTACCCTAACTCACTTCAGACACTCAGGGATTGACTTGCTACCAGGGAATAATCTCGTTGACTTAGGATATACAGATGATATAGTTCTTCTAGGTGAAGACGCTAACAAAATGCAGCAGTCTTCTGAACACCTTGAGCTGCAATCTGCGAATGTTTGACATGCGATTCTCTCCCTCTGTCAAATGAAAGATGATGCTACAGGACTGAACTACATTGAAATAGGGAGTGAAATGGTAGAGCACGTTGACCACTTTACTTATTTGGGAGTTTCATCAGCCCCAACGGGTTGATCGCTGACAAAATCTCAGCATAGATACAGAAGGCTCTCGTGGCACATGCCAGTTTATGCCGTCTCTGGAGTAGGCGTGCTAGGTAAAGAGGGGAAGTCAATCAACGAGAGTGTGAAGTTACACAGATTGCGATGGTTAGGACTTGTGTTACGCATGCCTAGCCATCTATCGCCTTCCTCAACGGGCAATGTTAGCTGATATAGGGTCAGGCTGGAAAAGAGTCAGTGGTGGTCATACCAAAACATGGCTTCATCAGTCAATGAAATACACAACAATTAGTTTTAGCCACGTAGGAAGATGTAGACTTCCTGGCTGGGGGTCCTCGGGACGGTAAAAACCAGTGGCTGGAGACAATTGGTGATATAGATCAAAATCGTTCTCAGTTGTTCTTCGTTATTACTATTCCTTTGTCTCAAATCCCTGTTTACTGTCTCTATTTTGTATTTCTTCTACTTTCTCCTCTTGCTTTGTGTGTGCTCCATGGAGTGTGGTGACTTAAATTGCTGCACATCTGTGCAAAGTTCTATGTTGAAAACAGACAGATAGACAGATACAAAAGAGAGGTCGCACATTTTATTACTGATATCTACTCTGATTTTAATACATACATCAATTACAATTGAAAATTACGACTGATCAAATATCTGAAAACCAACACTTAGAAATCGGCCTAATGCTTACCACTGACTAACTACAAGGTGAAGTTCTGGTAAGAAGTTGTGACTGGTGGAATCCAATCAGTCGGGGATGAAGCCAAATGCTCGCTAACGATATTGGCTGGCGGTTGCGATACAAATCATGGATTCACAGAAGTTAGAATTCGTAAGCAATTGAATTCTGTCTCAGTGGATGAGAATGGTCGATATGCTTTTATCGTAACCTAAAAGTCCTGGGATCGATCCTCAATGGCATCATAGGCATGCACTTCTGAAGAGTCCCAAACTGGTGCGAAACAGCTGACTTGTACTCCTTGGTTTTCAGTGCTTATCTAATTAATGCCAGTGCGTTATCCAACTTGAAATTAGTGAAATCTTTGTAAATCAGTACTTGAAAAATCACATTTTTATACACATATGTTGTCACCTTTTAAAATGTAACATGGTTGTTTTCGTATTTCATTATTCATGTAGTATATATTGGGTTCTATTTGTATTTTCATATTTGCAATCATAGTGACTGTTGATTTCACTCTTTATATTAGCAAAATTAATATCAGACTGACACTCACATTATTAGCAAAGCTAGCGATCATAAAAATAAAATAATTTTTTATGATTTTTATTTAAGTTTTCCTAAAACTAATTTTTCCTTGACCAAAGAACAATTCTTTTTCTAGCATATCAATGTGATTTAAGTCAACCTCGTGCCCGCACTCACTTTAGTAAATATTGAAGACTGGTAATTTGTTCAAACTCGTAATCTGCTTTATTCTGTTTAAGGCTAAATGCTAAGGTGTATTTTTTTATTCCTTCACGTTCCCAGTGGAACATAGGGCTTCAACCTAGAGGCTTAAAGTTTCTGTAGCAGAGTTTATTTTTACGGGATGGGGTTGCTGGCCTCATGCCTTCCCTCTTTACCAGTCTTATTACTGGCTTAGCGAGGTAAATCAGTGCGTCGGCCGGGGATCAAACCCCAGACCATGTGCACAGTCGGCGAGCGTCCTAAACGCCGTGCCACCGACGAAGGTGGGTTTTATTAGCGAACCACACTGTAAAGACTAACATCTGTTGAAATAAATCCATATTTATGTCAGAGACATGAAAAAAGGTTATTGGACAAAAGGAAAGCTACAGTTTACTTATCATATGCGAAACAAATTAAAAATGTCATTAATGGATCATAGATGTTGATTGATGAAAAAGTAAGGAATCAGGTGTATTGGAATCGTCCTCATCCAGTATTTCACTAAGGCTTGGTAACATTCTCAGAGAACATACTGACTGTTTTCATGTGTAAATAAGTACTAATTCGAGTGTAGATAATCATATTTTAAATGTCACAAACTGGTTATGCATGTTTCTACAGTCAAAGAACACTGCTAATATTGAAGGACACAATTCTGATCTGTACAGAATAGGTTAAAGAACTTCACTTGTCTTAAGTGACAGAATCCAACCTGCTTGTATGAGATTAGGTTATATATATATATATATATATATATATATATATATATATGCTTCATATACAGACGCCTAATTAACAAAAATATATTATTCTTTTAATTCCTGTGGTTGTTGTAAAATTCATAAAAGTGATGCAGAAATCAAGCCTGACGTTAAGTATCTTCGACTAATTATTTCTTCTAATCTATCCTGGTCTTCCTAGAATAGCAATTTCTAAGAAAATATTCTGTCTCAATTTTTACTTTAAGAAGTTAAGTCACTCAGGCATAACTCAACCTCCCCTCATACAGTTTATCAATTCTTGCATCTTTCCCATTCTTCTTTATTGTTCACCTTCATTCTCTCCTGGGTTGCTCGAAAAAGACTATGTCATACTTCGTAGAACTCTGAAGACTGTCAGTAGGGCGAGTGGTATCCCATTGAGCCATATCGTTGACATCGTCATTGGTAGGCACTTGATTTCATGCAAAAAATTTGCTAAAGGGATTTTGTCAGACTGTGAGCATCCGCTTTACCCGCAGCTTTCACCTTGTGTCTCCTCAGGTAAAACAAGAAGTCACTTCAAAAGACTTTATGCGCGCAAGTCTAAGGATAGAAATTCCACTATACCATATTTAGCACCTTCTTTATATGATGAAAATAGTTACAGGGACGAACTAACTGACCTTCTTGGCACTAGTATATAAACCATTTTCTCTATCCTTATTCCACCAAGCTTTACTGTTATTATTCTCCTTATATAATAATCCTCTCTCTTATTTTGTTTATTTTCTCATGAGTGCATACATTATTTAAGCTCTGTAATAGTTGTTATTCTTTGTTTTTCCATTCACCATGCTATATTAAGAGAACATTAGATTCAGTACTCTATAACATGCTAAAATTTTCAAACTGAATCTCCAATACTGTTTGAAACAAACTCACTATTATTACATTTAATATTCTCAATTCGTACTTAGAATATTTTTGACATTATATCGTAAATGTGGACAAATTCCTCTGGTTAATTTTGTTTTAATTTTTAATTTTATATATATTTTGAGTAAATCAGATGCAATATTGTGACAAATGCTATGAATTCCATTCTGTATTATAAGTGCTGTTTTTGGAACAAAGCAGAACCATGTACTCATACTGAGATATCGAAATGATATGAAATAAATTGACAAGTTTTGTTATCTCATGAAACATCTACTGGTTGTCTTCTTTAATTCCTATCCCTCAAGTCAAGTAGATCAGTATGTAGTATTTATATTATACTATAAATACTGCAGACTAAGCCGAACTCGGGAGGAACAAACGAGGGAAAATCAAGCGGGCTTTAGGCCAGGTAGAGGGTGCATAGATCGTATCTTCATTCTCCGACAGATCCTAGAACATAGACACACTTTTAGGCGTCCAACAATTGCCATATTTCTTGACTTGAAGGCGGCCTTTGACTCCGTGGATAGAGAGGTACTATGGCAATGCTTGACTGTGAAGGGAGTGCCAAGAAAGTACATTGCACTAATCAAGGCACTCTACTCAAACTCACGTAGCCATGTAAGGGCTTATGGGGAATTGTCATCTGAATTGGTAACAACCAGTGGTGTCCGTCAAGGATGTCCACTTTCCCCTTTTCTGTTTAACTTCATCATAGATATGCTAATGGAAGTATCCTTAACTGAAGTTAACAACTTAGGAATCGACTTGTTACCAGGGAATAGTCTTATGGACTTAGAATACGCAGATGACATAGTCCTGTTAGGGGGGGACGCTGACAAAATGCAGAGTCTTCAGAACACCTTGAGCAGCAATCTTCGTATGTTTGGCATGCGATTCGCCCCTGTAAAATGTAAGATGCTGCTACAGGACTGGACTACATCAACTCCTAGCTTAGTGATAGGGAGTGAAGTGATAGAACATGTTGACCACTTCACCTATTTGGGAAGTTGTATCAGCACCAACGGACTGATTGGCGACGAAATCTCAGCACGGATCCAAAAAGCTCGGGCTGCTTTCGCTATCTTACACCATCTCTGGCGTAGGCTATCAACCAAGGGACGTGTGTACTGCTCAACAGTTCGCTCCGTCCTTCTCTGTGGCGGTGAGACGTGGCCATTGAGAGCGGAAGACATGAAGAGATTGTCTGTTTTTGACCACAGATGTTTACGATCTCTTTCTCACGTTAGGTGGTATAATAAGGTAAGTAATGTTGACGTTAGGCGTAGAGTGTTGGGCAAAGAGGGAAAATCAATCGAAGAGGCTATAAAGTTACATAGATTGAGATGGCTAGGTCACGTGCTGCGCATGCCTAACCATCGCCTTTCCCGACGGGCATTACTAGCTGATATAGGTGCAGGCTGGAAAAGAGTAAGTGGTGGCCAAACAAAAACACGGCATCAATCCATGAAATCCCTGACAGTTAAACTGAGTCAGGTAGGGAGATGCAGACTTCCGGGTTGGGGCCCTCGGGACTCTAAGAATCAATGGCTGGAGACAATAGGTGACATGGCTCAAAGTCGTTGTCAATGTCGAAGATGTATTCAGTCTCTGTAATCTTTCATATTCCTTTCTACCATTACTCATTCTGTTTCACTCTTATGCTTGTCAAAACTCTATTGATTCTCTTCACTCATTTTCTTGTCTACCTTTGTATGCTATTTGGAATGTGGCAACTCGAACTGCTGCACTTCGGTGCCAAGTTCTATGTTGAATCCAGCCAGCCAGTATTTATATTACCTCAAAACATTGAACCGTTTTTCAAAATAATCATCTGAATATTTTACTAGGCTTGTCGTGGAATGGGACTTGACGATGGTGTATTCGTTTGTGATGGTCCTTTGTCAAGAGGCAAGTCTGAAAATCCTCCTTCAAGTGCACTACGAAGAATCCCAGTCGAAGCAGATCTTTTTATTGCTTATGCAGTACAACCAGGTAATATTTCTGTTGTATGTTATATTGTTTTGCTTTCCTGTTTTATGCATGGCTTTAATTAAGTCTTGTATGTTGAAGAATCTCCATTACATGCTACTGGACGTTTATTATGATTGAGAAACTTTCATGTGTTATCAGTGTATAATTATTTGTAATGCTAAATATGTCTAAATTTTATTTTAGGAAGTACGATCACTTCTGAAGTAAGTAAGTAATGTTAAACACCTTTAGCACTTAGTGTAAGGAACAAAAGTAGGATTTTCAACACTCAATTCAATGCTTCCATATACATTGCAAAATTTGCTCGTGCGTCACCAAAAGCATTTCCAACAGCCTTTTTCAGACTTTCATTAACATCTATCTTGATCAGATGGCTGATCAGCCGGAAAGGATAAAGAACAAGAAACTCTAGCAGTCGGCCAACCACTCTAGAGCCTGTTATCTGAAACATATGCAGTAGGAAACGGAAATAGATTTCACTTGTGGTCAGAATACCTTCAAGTGAAATCTGACGCTAGGGTGTCGAGTGGAATCCGAATGGGAAACGATGAATTTGGTGTCCGGCGGTACCACGGAGACAATTTTGTGATGAGGAAATGAAATTTTGTAGTTAGGTGTGGAGATGTTCCGTTAAGGCGATATGCTCTACTCTGAACACAGGAAACGAGTAATGATAATAATAATGTTGACTAGGGTAAAGTACCTTGGATGAAATTAGTGCCTGTGATGTGCACTACAGATTTTAATATTGATTAATAACTTACAGTTGCGTCGGTGGCATACCGGTTAGGACGCTTGCCGACCATGCACATGGTCCGTGGTTCGATCCCCGGCCGACGCACTGCTTTACCTCGCTAAGCCAGAAATAATGCTGGTGAAGAGGAAAGGCTGGGCGTGAGGCTGGCAACCCCATCCTGTAAAATAAACACTGCTACAGAAACTTCAGGCCTCTAGCTTTTTAGCCCTATGTTCCACTGGAAACGTGAAGGAAAAAAACGATCACTTCTGAACGATTTTGTCGGCGAATAGTAACAGCTTTACCAGCATAAAATTATTTTATATGGATTAGATTATTTGATATCTTCATAATAAGGACTTTTAATAATCGTAGAACGGAATGCCACCAATATCCCCGATAGTCCCCGATGTACGAGTTATCTAAATATTTGCCCCATTAGAGATAGGTCAAATTCTAGGCTAACTAATTCCTATGTAATGAAACAGAAACCGGAGGAAATTCAATTAGAAAAAGATGAATAAATGATTAGTTTTGGCATAACCAGTTTATATTACTAATATTCCCATTAATAATACCCTGGAGGCAGTTAGGAATGAACTGAACATTGGTCATGAACTCAAAAGTAGGACTAAGCTCTTATTTGATGATATAATATTAGGTGTCCAGTTATGTCTAATCTCCACTTCAAATTTCAAAATTAGCTATATTAACAAACTAATAGGGTGGCAATGGGATCACCAATATCCCCAATAGTAGCAGACATATTTATGGATATTCATTATAAATTATTTAAATTAATCCCAGAGTGTTAAGAAAATCAAAACAAGATTTTTCTGAACGTTTCGCTGTGTAAGCCGCCACAGCTTCTTCAGCAGATTTATTCGGATTTTTATTATTCATCAAAATATATAGTCAAAAACTTCTTACATAAATTGAAGTCATTATAATAAAGGTTTTTGTATTTCCCAATGAATGAAAAACAAAACGATATTGTTTTTACTGACGTTTCGCTATTTAATGCTAATAGCTTTATCAAAGGATTATATTATTATAAATTGAAGTCAGTTTATTTGAAGGTCATTTGTCCATGGACATTTTTACCATTAGAAATATGTAAGCAGTTGTCACATATATTTATAATGACTAATGTCAAATAGTTGTTGTGTTCACTCTTCTATAGTGATCTGTACAGATTAGTTTTATATGACTGTGTGTGTATGTATGTTATTTGTCATGTGGAAAATACGTGAATTCGTGTGATAAACAAGATACTACATGTTTTAAAAGGTCATAGAGGCTCATAGAGCGTTTATTGTTTTTTCATCTGTCTTGCTTCATTAGAGCTGGCCATATAGGTGATAAGTCTATCCCTTCTTTCCTATTCACTGCATTCGATGTGGTTAAGATGTGCAAGGCTTCAGAAGTCAATCTTTCTTTATGTGGATGAAATCCTCTTCCAAGAATTTCGACATCATCGAAATCATTCTTATGTCCGCTGTCTATCGCATGCATTGTTATAGCCGATCTTTTTTCTAGACTTTTTAGTTCTACTTCATTTCTAGGTGGACGTTTCGTGCATAGTCTATGTTCATTCACTCTGACCTTCATCTGCCTACTGCTCTCCCCTATATAGCATGCATCACATTCTGAACACTTTATCTTGTAGACACAATTACTTTGTGCCATTCTGGGAACTATATCCTTGACATGTACTAACGCCTTCTCTAGAGAGTTAGAAGGTTTGACATAGACTTTAATATTATATGAGGCAAATAGTCTTTGAAGTTTTTCAGCTGTGTCCTTTCGATATGGGATGGCTATCGTCGATAGCCAGGATTTTTCAATTTTTTGTTTTCCCTTATGCTCCTTTCTAATGATAATATTATCTAGTACCTTTTCAGGATAACCATTTCCAATCAAAATCTGTTTCACGTTGGATATCTCATTCTCCATATGGTCATTATCTGTTATAATGTTTCTATCTCTGTTAACGAGATTTAAAGCTACTGAAACTTTCATTCCTATTTGATGATCTGATTGGAAAATCAAATACTTATTGGAATGTGTTGGATTTAAATATGTAGATTCCAAACAAAGTTTTAAGCATTTTATAACTTCATCTATTGATAATAAAGATTTAGTTAATACTTCTTGATCGGGCTAACAACCTACCTAACTAGTAAACCAGAAGAGGTAAATAATGAAATCAAACAAATAAAGGAAGTATTACGAGTATCATGTAATGACTGTGAAGTCAATTGCATAGGCCAAACTATTAAATTGGGGACAACTAGATTATTGGAACATAAAAAATTCAGCTAGACCTAGAATAATTGGCCCTGCTAAGTTAAATAACCAAGAAAATACTTCAGCTATTGCACTGCATTCACTTGTATGTTATAAACAATAGGGTGGAGCAAGTTAAAGTACTAAAAACTAATATAGTAAGGTGGAGAAAGAGGCTAATCACTGAATCTTGATTTATCGATTTAACACCCGTCACATGCAGTCAAAATGATGCAAAGCCTATACCGGAGATATGGATAGTGATGACAAACAACAGGGGGAAGTTGGAGAGACAAAAAAGAGAATATATATATATGATAAATTGTGAAACCGTGTGACCAAATTGATATGATTGTGAGCAATAAATTGCGCTCGAAAGGTAATCCAGTCGTTATTATTGAACCGCTTTGTGATATTTAAAATAAACCTCTCTAATATGGAATTGCATTCTATCACACAGTGCCCAAGTTCTACATTTGCACCAATTCTGCCGTTTTAAAACTACTAAACAGACATCTACTCGGTGTAATCCTAAAGAAAACTTTCACTGAAAACACCTGCATATAACTCTTTCTCAACTATATTTGAAACGTTTAAAAACGACTTCCCTTTTATGGTATAATACTTACATGTATAATGTAGTTTAGGTTGCTTTAAGCCTCTTGAAGTCAATGAACAATACAGAGATTTATATATATTCATGTTCGGCTGCCAAGATGATTCCTGATCAAAATAAAATCAGGCTGTTCACTATTTCTTGTTACTTTGATTTACATTTCCTGTTGATTTAGTACGTTGGACCAAACTGCTTGGTTTGTGGTGACATATTGACTCCTAGTACGGACACTTCGACGATATTTGGAAATTAACATGATGCTATTTTGGTTGATTGTGACTGACAGTGGAATCTAGTGGTCTGGTGGACAACCCTTTGCCGTTTAGATCGATAGGTGCAAGATTTGAGTCTCAGTAAGCACACTGAGGAGGCAAGCATAAGTCCCAAAAGGAACGAAATGCTGCTACTCACCAAAAGCCGAACTAACAAAACTCTGTACTCCTTAGTTAAATTAGTTTCAAATTACTGTCGGTATTCGATGAAGAGGAACATTATAAAGTGGTCAGTGTCTTCCAAGCTTTTTCATCGTGCTTATCTTCAGGCTGACTAATAGGGTGACCTATAATATTTATAATTTATGTGTCACACCACCAATGAATCATTAAGTTTTAATGAAATTGAACAGAACTTAGTGTTCTCATATATATGTATATATATATTGATTTGAATAGAACTTACATAGTAGAGGCTATGGACGTGTGGCCACATGAGAGCACTTCGACAGAAATACGAAAGTCGTCTACCCACCCTCGGCCGTACCAGGTCATTCACCTAAAACCTTACAATCACTGTAAAATAAAGTAAACACCAATGATATATATACTGAGATTTTGTAAATTCCGGTTTAATAATACTTTGATACAGCAATTAGCATTAAATTGCGAAACGTCAGTGAAAAACAATATCGTTTTGTTTTTCATTCATTGAGAAATACAAAAACCTTTATTATAATGAATATCATATACCCAATGCCCAAATTTATATATATAAGATTTTAACCAATAGTGTTGAAGTTGTGCATATTAGAGCCTGAAGAAGGTCCCATTGAAGGCAATATTACTCACTTGTATATCATCTCTTATTTCTTTTACTGAATCGTCACTAATGGACTGCTTTTCCTCATATAATAGGCCTTATTCAGCATCGTAATGCCAGAACTGTTGAGATAATAGATGACCTGTACCTAGTCGTAGTATCACAATGTATTTTTGTTTCTGGCACGTTTTTTTTATTATTTCATCCTGATATTCTTTAAGCATGATTATAGATTGTTGGAGTGTTCAAATACTAGAGACTGACGTCGGTTAATCTGATTTTTTTCATCAGCCTGTTAATTTAGCTTCCGGTCAAATATTTTCTTTTGCCTCCACCACTGTGAAATTATTTTATAATCCAATGATGATCGATTGAATCAACTTGTGTTTGTTAGAAATTATTATCAAGATTTTATTTAATAAAGACCTATTTGGGAAGTTGTATCAGCACCAACGGATTGATTGGTGACGAAATCTCAGCACGGATCCAGAAAGCTCGGGCTGCTTTCGCTAACTTACACCGTCTCTGGCGTAGGCGTGACATCCGGCTGTCAACCAAGGGACGTGTATACTGCTCAGCAGTTCGCTCCGTCCTTCTCTATGGCGGTGAGACGTGGCCATTGAGAGCGGAAGACATGAAGAGATTGTCTGTTTTTGACCACAGATGTTTACGATCTCTTTCTCACGTTAGGTGGTATAATAAGGTAAGTAATGTTGACGTTAGGCGTAGAGTGTTGGGCAAAGAAGGAAAATCAATCGAAGAGGCTATGAAGTTACATAGATTGAGATGGCTAGGTCACGTGCTGCGCATGCCTAACCATCGCCTTTCCCGACGGGTATTATTAGCTGATATAGGTGCAGGTTGGAAAAGAGTAAGTGGTGCAATGCCAAACAAAAACATCCCATCAATCCATGAAATCCCTGACAGTTAGACTGAGTCAGAAAGGGAGATGCAGACTTCCGGGTTGGGGCCCTCGAGACTCTAAGAATCAATGGCTGGAGACAATAGGTGACATGGCTCAGAATCCTTGTCAATGGCTTACGCAGATGTATTCAGTTTCTGTAATCTTTCATATTCCTTTCTACTATTACTCATTCTGTTTCACTCTTATGCTTGTCAAAACTCTATTGATTCTCTTCCCTCCTTTTTTATGTCTACCTTTGTGTGCTATTTGGAACGTGGCAACTCGAACTGCTGCACTTTGGTGCCAAGTTCTATGTTGAATCCAGCAGCAGCAGCATTTAATAAAGACTGTATGTTTTACTGAAACACAATTCTGATGGTTTCAATCGATTCGCCTGTCTAAGCTGAATCAAATCTGGTATACAACTGATGAGCGTCGATCTAAATGAGCAAAATGGTCGACCGGTGTTTGGGTCACTTCGATCTGGCTAGCAAGCATTACCAACTACTCATATCAATCGATCAGTAGTATGTAGTATCGTGCATTAAGTTGAAAAGAATCGGCCAAACTAAAGGTATTAATACGATTGAGACAATTTTTGTTCTTGCTCTTTCAACTTAGAACTTTTCACATCATTGTGTCAGTTGAAGTTGGAAGACTTTGATATAGTGCACTAGGTGATGTTATTGACATGCACTTTCAAAAGATGTTAATAATTTTATTATAGAACATCTTCATTCGGTCAGTGGAATTTCGTACTTGACTTATTTGAGTTTTTCTTTCAAAATCGTTGTAATTTTTTAGTTGTCTTCATGTATGTGTTATCGAGATTTCCGTCAGACTCTCCATTTCGCCTATGAGGAGCAGCTGAAGTAATTTCGTAACAACAGAAAACAAGGGCCAGGCAACAAATCATTTATTGAGAAAATCAACAAATATTTATAGGTTTTTATGTACATTATTATTCGTTATTATTAGCAGAGAAACAGCGTCTTCTGATTGGTTGTTCTCTCGCTGAAAGTTAATCTGTCATCTCTTTGTGGCCGTTTCTTTGAAGGTCAGACCATATATCTGCGAATGGTATCCGCCCACACTAAGTCTGCTGTGATTGGTTATTGAGTTCCTCAAGGTTAGGCTTTGTTCTTGTTTTTTCTTATGACCAAGATTTGGGACGTAAACATTGACGTAAATTGCTGTCTACCAATTTCGGCTAGCAGGCAGCTCTCACCACAATTTCACCTACTTCATACTGTAGTTTACTGATGGAAATTAGTGAATTGGATTATTTCACTTATTAGTTAAGGACTAAAAAATAAATAGCTACCATTTGAATTTTAGATATTTTCTAAACTTTATGGTCTTTTAGAAATCTCTTTTACGTCCCCATGGCTTCTACTTTATTTTGCAGTGATTGTAAGGTTTTATGGGAATGACCCGGTATGGCTGAGTAGTGGCTAGACTTCTACCTTTCTGTCGAAGTTCTCTCATGTGGCCACGTGTCCATAGCCTCTGCCATGTAAGTTCAATTCACTGTCTTCATGAGGCAGAGGGGCTTCCTGGGAAATGTGAGAAGGGTGAAAGCGAACGTCTGGCGCTTACAACCGGACTGGCGGACATGCCAGTCTTCCTAGGGTAGTTGGAAAAGCCTAACTCCACCTATAATGTATATGGGCTCCAGAATCCAAGAGAATTGAACGGTGTATGAGTCTGTTTTGGTCACCAGCAACCATGGGACTGCAGCTTCTGACGTTGCTTGACTGTCATGTGAATCAAACTTAAAGTAAAGTCTACACTTGTTACATTTTGGCATTATGAACATCCCATTAAAACAGCTTATGTCTAACTACTTTGTGCACATTCACGGTCAACGACTTCATCCATTAGTGTCATGTATGGTTGCAACCACTAACTGTTTTCCAACCTAATTCTAATTCAGCTAACATTACTCATCTAGGGAAGCGTATTATAACATACCAGTCGTCTGAATGGAAGAGGATCTACAACTACATTCTCAGAATTACTTTATTACTGAACACTCTCCGCTTAATGCCCGCATTACTTTTCATGTTATTTCACTTAACGTAAGGAAATTAACGAATACATCGGTTATTAAAAGTCTGCAATGTTATCATCTTTATTTTCATTGGCTATATGTCAGACTTAAAGTCGAATTATCATTATTATTATTATTATTATTATTATTATTATTATTATTATTCCCTTGGGTTCCTAGTGGAACATAGGGCTTCAACTACACGTCTCCACTTGCCTCTGTCTTCTGTTGTACTTTTCACTTGCATCCATGTTAGTCCATACTGTTCCAGCTCCTCTTCACACGATCTCCTCCATGTCACCCTTGGACGTCCCACTCGCCACTTCCCTTTCGGGTTCCACTCAAGCTATGGCCTGACGCGCGATGTCACCCAGTGGCCTCCTCAGTGAGCGTCCAATCCATCTCCACTTTCTCCTGAATATTTATTGGGCAATTGGTTCTTGTTTTGTTTGTTCCCATAGTTGGTTTCTTGTTGGTGATTCTTTCCGGCCATCTGATCTTGAGTATAAAGCGAAGACAGTTGGTGATAAAGGTCTGCAACCTGTTGGAAATATTCTTTGTGACCCGCCAAGTTTCTGATGCGTATAGAAGAAGTGACTTTACGTTTGTATTGAAAATCCGAATTTTGTTGTTGATGCAGGCTGAGTGACGAAGATTTCCAGATTGGTTTCAGGTTGATGAATGTGTTTCTCGTCTTTCCGATTCTCGATTTGACATCCTCGTCCGTTCCTCCTGTAGTTGAGACAATGCTCCCTAGATAAGTGAATCCCTCCGGTAGATGGTGATTGGCCCTGGATATTGCTGCTGTTGTTGTTGGTTGGTTATTTTCATAACCTCCGTCTTGTCTCTGTTCATCTGGACCAGTTTGTCGGTTTTTGCTTGTAAGTCTTCGATTTTGTGTGACATCAAACATAAACCATCCGCGAAATCCAGGTCTTCTAGTTTCTTCTAAAGTCGATTAGAACTTCTCAAATAAGCGAAACTGTCATTACACCCAACCACTTTGCTTCTAAATCTCAAAAGGAGAGTCGGTCACAACTTTGAACAACGAGGATTGTAATGAGTTTATTAACTGAAACACGAATGTTCTTTATCACATAAAATTCCCAAAAGCATTTACATATTTACCTTTAATCGATATACACTTTATCAGTAGACCAAGAAAACAAATGGAAAAGCCTAGGACATTCTAGCTTTACTTAAACTTCATGTGCTGGACCCCCTAACAGAATATCAATTTCGGATACATAGTACTTCGTCCACAGATTTCTAACTTTGTACCTATAAATATTGGCTTTAAAGTGACATCATAGAAAAAAGTGTGAATCTGAGATGGCAGACTGAAATCGGGACTAAGATATTCTTGAATCAACATTTATCTTCCGTATTAGATAAGTTAACTGATAACGTTTCCAGCACAATTCATTGCTCATAATCATATCAATATGTTCATACGACCTCATAACTTATGTTTTATAGCTTCACTTCATGTTTTTCAATCCAATTTTCCATATATCCGAGATAGGTGTTGCATCGTTTCGATTCCACGTGTTTGGTGTTGATTCAATGGACAAAGATTCGGTGATTAACCTCTCTTCCTAATTAACTCTGTTACTTTTTAATATGTTTACTCTATCCCACCTTATTGTTTAATCGCATGCAAGTGAGTGCATTGCAATAACCGAGATTTTTTTCTAGATTGCCTAACTTAGCAGGATCAATCTAATGAAATTCTTATGTTCTAATAACATAACTGACAAAGATCTATTAGTCCGACCTATGTATTTGACCCTGAATGCATGCTATCGATACGATACAATACCTGCCTCACATATACGGAAAATTGAATTGAAAACCATTTAAGAAGTCGTGTAAATACATGGACATTATTATGAGCACTAGATTGTATCTGAAGCGTTGTCCAGTTATTAACACTATACCAGTCACTGGTTATTCAAGTAAACTTGTCCAGTGTCCAAACTATAATACTATATTCTCGTTTATGTTGTATAATGGACAGGAAATTGCAGTCTCTATTGCACTGAAGTTGTTTCTTCTTTCAAATTTGAGTTTATATTAAAAGAATACCGCTTTCAAATGACTTTAAGGTGTATTTTATTATTATCAAATGTATAAATATTTTAAATACTATTATATTTTTATCTTTCATTTAGGTTACTATGCATTTCGAAATTCAGTCAATGGCTCTTGGTTCATTCGTGCCTTATCTGATGCCTTGTTACGCTATGGAAACACTTTGGATTTACTAAGCATCATGACACGTGTTAATTATGAAGTTGCTTATGAATATGAATCAACAGCGGCTAATCCTGCATTTTCTGGCAAAAAGCAAATGCCGTCGTTTGTATCTACTTTGACTAAGCAGGTTATTTTCCCACCAAAACACAGAAAACCTCATTAATCTTGTATTTAATTACATTTAAAGCTTTCAATCATGACATTGTACATATACCTGTAACAATATTTATGCAGTCTGTCGTTAAATATAGATAATTAAATCAACTCTTCGTGTAAATTTAGTAGTTCACATGACTGATTTCAGTAGTATATCTTGTTGGTTGTATAAAATATCAGTCTTTTTTTTTACAATTTACTTTTGAAGTTGTAATATGGATTTACAGCAGTTAGGACGTTCGCCGACCATGCACATGGTCCGGGGTTCAATCCCCGGCCGACGCACTCCTTTACCTCGCTAAGCCAGAAATAAAGCTTGTAAAGAGGAAAGGTTGGGCATGAGGCTAGCAACCCCATCCTGTAAAAATAAACACTGTTACAGAAACTTCAGGCCTCTAACTTGAAGCCCTATGTTCCACTGAGAACGGGAAGGAATAAAAAAATATGGATTTAATAAGTTTGGAATAAAACAACGAAATAATATTGCTGAGATGAACTACGACTGCATTGACACCAAAAGCCTCTTTGATTTTTGTTGTTGAGCTTTTGACTGTTAAAAGAAAGTGATTTCGCGGATGATTTACGTCTAATGTCACATAAACTCGAAGACGTACAGGCGAAAAGCAACAAACTGGCGGAAGAGGTGAGGCAGGCAGCGAATACAGGACTGCAGGTGAACATAGAGAAGACGGAGGTAATGAAGGTAACCAACGAACCGCAACAACAACCAGCACCAATCACCATCAACAGGAGAGATTTAACAGAGGTTACCTCCTTCACTTATCCAGCCAGGAAGCATCGTTTCAACTACAGGCAGTCGGAACGGATGAAGATATCAAAGTCAGTCAGAATCGGAAAGGCAAGATACGCCTTCATCAACCTGAAACCAGTTTGGAAATCTTCTGTACTGCACTCAGCCAGCATAAAGAACAAGATTCGGATTTTCAACACCAATGTCAAGTCGATCCTTTTATACGGGTCAGAAACTTGCACTGTGTGTCACGAAAAGGATTTCCAACAGGTTCCAGACTTTCATCAACAGCTGCCTTTGCTCCATAGTGAAGATCAAATGTCCAGAAAGAAGGAATTAGCAACAAGAAACTCTGGCTGGGAACAAACCAACCAATAGTCGATCGCTCAACAAATATGTAGGAGAAAATGGAGGTGGATCGGGCATACATTGGGGAAACCGTCGAGTGACATCACGCACAGTGCAGGCCATTCGCTCGAGTGGAATCCAAATGGGAAGCGACGAGTGGATCGTCGATGCGAGGGTGATACGGAGAAGATCGTATGAGGAAGAGATGAAAGATTATGGGCATCCGTGGACCCAGCTGAATAGGACGGCAGAAAAATAGAAGAAAGTGGAGATGTGTTGTTGAAGCCCTATGTTCCACTTGGAACCCAAGGGTACAATTATATTAATGCACCTCGAGATTTGTATTTATAAACAGGAGACCTCAGGACAATGAGGTAATTCCTATCTGTTCGTCAGTGTATAAAATAATGAGGCGATTATTTGTGATTTCATACAAGCCAAATGAAAAATCTACAAAAGTGTAATGTAATCATTTGTTTCTCACATGCACATTAAATCGAGGCAGTATGAACACTAATGTTTTCGAGCTATTTTTATGCTTCTTCAGTAGTCGGTGTTGTATAATAGTTGCTTAAAGTGGGACACGTGATCCATGCTAGTTTTTAACTATTATGTTTTACTCAACATGAGCATAGTAGTCAAGATCTGCGAAATACACACAAAGGACTTTGGTGGAACTTTTCTTCCACTCAATGGTAAATGACTCTGCCAACCTTTAATTTAAGTACAAGTGCTTGAAGAGATATAAGTATTTTTTTAACTCAACAGTGTGTGCCTTCTGTCGGAGAATATTGTGACCGGTAGTCCTATTTATGACCTTAACATCCGTAGCTGAACTTGTAAAGAACTAAACTTGAAAATGTTTTGATTGTTAGTGTAAGCAGTTGTATTAAGTGAGAATAAATAAAATCGACTTCAACGGAAATGTGATGTGAGCACGTAATTGATTTTCAAAACGTTTTGGATGAAGTTAAGTGGGACGTACAACTGATTCTGGAAAATTATTACTTGATTAATATGACGTTTGTTAATTCATTTCCTGTCCTTTGTTATTCTTTCTTTTGTTTTCAATTTTATACTACTTACCACTAGTAAGTGGTATGAGTTATATTTGTTACTTCATAACCATGAGTTTTGTTTGCTATTGAACTTTAACTCACTTAGTGTATATATACTCTGTTTGATGTATGGTTATTATTTTCTTAAAGTTAAAAATTATCTACAGTATATGCTTTATTTATATACCCTTCTATATTGAACATTGTTTATTCTAATCCCTTTATTCTTTATAAATTATTTAAATTAATCCCAGCGCGTTAAGAAAATCAAAACAAGATTTTTCTGAACGTTTCGCTGTGTAGGCCACAGCTTCTTCATCAGATTTATTCGGGTTTTTATTAATGATTCTTAACACGCTGGAATTAATTTAAATAATCTATAGTGAATCAATCTGACGCGGCTCTCAAATTATTCCAGGAAGTTCGTAACACCTACGGTCTGGAAACTTCCTTTAGTCTTTGTCTGACATTTCTGTACTGCTTAATCGACACGTGGGTCGCCTTTTACACATCTTCGCTATTTTCCCTATTGACACACAGCGACTGTACGTTTGATGAAATTCAGACAAGGACATCTCACATTTTGAGTTCTACTGAAGACCCAGTGCATTTGTTGATATTTAAATGAGATATACTTTGTTTAATTCTTGAAAAATTCCCATTTGGACACAGAAAATCGAATAAGTGATTCAGCGAAGAGACTCTTCTCAACCAGTATGTTATCAAGCTGTACAATCGTATATATATATATATAATTATGAAGAAATTATATCCTATGAAGAAACTGGATCACAGGTGTGAAAACATAAAATAATAATGGTGTGAAATGCAATTAAAACGTTTGTGATTATAATCATAGTTAAATGTCAAGTAGTAAAACAATTAATGTCATATATAGAATAATTCACTGGATGTATAGAACTTCGAAGGGGTGTGCAATTATACGATTAGTAGACAAATAAAAACGTTACGTAACATTGCGTGAAATTTGATAACAGCGGTTGTGATTCTCGCCGACCATGCACACGGTCCGGGGCTCGACCCCCTGCTGACGCACACCTGATATCTATGGTCGGCCTGCAAAATTTGGGCTACCGATGTCACACGCTGAAAATTCCATACCTGTACCGAAAAATACGGAATCAAGCTGTAATCAAAAATGAAATTAATAAATTTAACATTGCAAAACAGAATTGATTTAGAATAACAAGTAGGACGAGTGAAATAATACCGGAAGCAATTCAGATTTAGAATCGTAATAGTAACAAATGACGTAATAAAGGGAGAGTATACAAAATGAATAAACAAAAAGAAGTAGAGTCAAAATATGATTAGGGATTATCACAGTATAGAGAGATTAGGACCATGAAAGTTGGAGGGGTTGAATGAAATTTTTCTGTAAACAGAGATCTGGTTTCTGTATTTCGATGGCCAAAGCTTCAGGAATACAGATGAGTCGGATACGTAGTGATTTGGGCAAACTACTTTCCGCCTTGTAGATGACTTTAAAGGCGGAGGCTGTAGAGATAGGATGATCAGATTTCTTTCCTTTATTTCTGTTCTTTCTTATCTTTAGATCTCATTGGTAGTAATAGGTGATAAAACAGGGATTACTGTAAGCAGAAATATGACTTCGTAATGAAGAAAATAACCAGTTACAGTTTCCGACTGACAGATGCTATCCCGATATAGTGACCAGGCTTGCCATATCGCTATAACCCAGCGAGCTATACTGCTTGAAACGAATATTCCTGAGATCTACCATGCCACAAATGTCAGTTGCATAGCAGTTTGAGAAAGAGGAGTTATTGTCAATTTGTAGATTGGTCTACCAATGTTGTGGGTGAAGTCATACTGCCAGTGAATAAGGATGTAATAGAAGCAAGTTTATTTCCTCAGACAAGCAGTAGGTCAAATATTCCACCTTCCCATTCTGGGGAAAATTTAAGAAAGGTCGATCCCTAATTTTGTATATCTTGATTCTTCTTACGGAAGTTCGTAGAAGCCAGCAAGGCCGGCCATATGAATGAAAGTTCACAAGCCCTGGCCTCAAGCAGCCATGTCCTGAGTTATACGGCCACACAAACTTAAGCATTTTTCTATTCCATGTGATCCCGGAAGAAGTGTGGTGCGGTCAGTTGGGAAGTATTAAGCGTCAACACGTTGACATAAGCACAGGAAGTAATTTTATTATCACGAAATATACCCATTTTTCTATAAGGAAAAGCAGTTTCTGTTCACTTATTTTATTTTGCAGTAAAATGTAGCGCCAGGTCAGGATTTCTGATGCAGGTTTCAGAGGGAAACCATCTATATGCACCTATAGAAGTTTGTATAAACGAGGAGTGGTTAAATGGGACGACTAATAATGATAATAATAATAATAGACTAGAGATGTTCATCCATATAAGAAGTAGTAATGGACTCATCCTTGGATTTCTTCACAGTTTTTGATATTTCCTAATCAATACCCTTCGTTCTGTCATTCCGGTCGGTTGTCTATAGAAATTTATCTTTCTCATCGAGAGTAATGTATGATTTATAAATAAAATCTAGGTAGTTTAAAACAACTATGCCCTACCATTTATCTGATTGGGTAAGTGTTATCTCCTTTTTATTCCAATTTTATGTTCTTTTCCTATTATTTGTCATTGTCCACATCGTGGTCACTCGCGAGCTCTTCTTGAATACGACGTTCTTTATCCTCCATAACTGGAAAATACCTCTTGGGAAACCTAATCTTCCTAGCCAGTAAATAAAATTCAACCATTACTTCCACATTAAAGCTCTGTGTGGTAAGTCCAGCTGTCTCGAACTACTGCCAAAGTTTTAGTGGCTACGTCCGTAATA